CGAATGGCGGATTCGAATCCACAACCTTTTGAGTTTGTGGTTCGCGCCCTGCCATTAGATTAAGGTCGCTTACTACACTGTATTCTATATCATTCTCTCGCAGGCTAAATCCTGTAGATGTATATGTGTCTCTTTTTAGTGTAGCTTTTTCGTTTTACCGAGTTTCATATCACAAAGGTTGTTAAGAAGCTTTCCCTTGAAAAAATCAAATATTCCTAAAATTATAATCTCAATGGCATGCGGCTACTTAAGAATTAATAAAATTTAAGAATACAGCTAGTATTACTTAAAAATTAAACTGATTTTAATAATCAATGGACCTGGTAGAAAACTATAGTAGTATACTTTCTTTATAGATTGCGTCGCCTAAGACCCTAGGTTCAAAGTACCTTACTACTATGTTTCAAGCTCTGCTAACATAAAAATATTAAGCATAAAAAAATTACACTGCATCCTTAAAAGTAAAATTACAGTCTATAGGTCACATTACTGCGTACAGACCTCCTCTCATGTCTGAGGTGGTTATGGAGTAATTGGTCTACCGCGCTGTTCTAGTTTAGTGGTTTAGTTTCTCCAATAGTGGCTGTGTAAATATATCCACTACCCCATATCATCCTGTGGGTGAAGAGGCGACAGGCGGAAACAAACTAGGAGATGGGCAGCGGCATCTTCCTGATAACCAATCTACCAGTCAAGCATGGCAACCATCAAGCAAATACAAAGAGGAGGCGTTCTTAATACTACGAAAATACACCGATTTGCGATTTTATCACTTAAGCGCACAGGGCGAATGCTGACACTATACTAACTAAAGGCACGCCACGCCCACTATAATGACGTCAGGACCTACTTAGAATCACAGTGCATAGTTGCTTATGCCATCTCCTCTTTGTATTTGCTTCATGATGGCAACTATTCCAAATATAATTTAATAATTAAATATAATTTCAACGGTGGTAGAGCCTTGCAGCAGCTTTTGCTGTTGCACGTATGGGCCGGCTCGAGCCGGGTTAGTACCACGACCTCACAGAATACCGGCGTGAAGTGGAAGCTCTGCTTCCGCGTTTCGTCTGGTGAGTGCAGGTGACCGGATGCCCAATTCCCCCCCCCCCCCATCAACATGGTAGCGGAATTACGTCATAAACTACCCCAGGAGGGTACCAGTACCCCTGGAGAATCCCTCGCTGAGCATCCACGACCATGCTATTCCACTCCTGAGCGTGGGTGCTCAGGCTGCCCCGCGTATTCTGGGGGGGGGGCAAAATTCCGCTCAACACAATAACTGCTCGGGGCAAACTGAGCAACAAGACCAAGGCGACCCCTGCCACGCTATCCGTGAATTTCTGCAACATCAGGGGCCTTCACTCGAACCTAAACGCCGTCCACTACCATCTCGAGACGGCGAAGCCGGCCTTGCTCTTTCTGACCGAGACGCAGGTGTCCTCTCCGGCTGATACTTCGTATCTCTCCTACCCGGGGTACAAATTGGAGCACTCCTTTGTGCCTCGGGCTGGAGTTTGCGTGTATGTCAGAGAGGACATCTGTTCTCGACGCCTCGGCAGTCTTGAAGGTTCGGACCTGTCCATCCTTTGGCTACGCGTAGACAGCGACGACCATCCGCGCGTCTACGCGTGCCTCTATAGGTCCCATAGCGGTAATGCCGAAACAGACCGACTCATCGACCACGTCCAAACGGCTACAGATTCCTTGCTACAACAGGTCCCATCCGCAGAGATCGTGATCCTTGGCGATTTTAACGCCCACCACGCCGAATGGCTCGGTTCACGTTTAACCGATCATGCGGGGAGATCTGTTTATGACTTTGCCTTGGCATATGGTCTGACACAACTGGTTACATCGCCTACGCGGATTCCAGATGTTGAGGATCATACACCTTCCCTGTTGGACCTTCTGCTGACCTCTCATCCGGACGGATATCAGGTTTCCGTCGATGCCCCTCTTGGCTCTTCGGACCATTGTCTGATCCGGAGTGTGGTGCCACTCACGCTCCCCTCGCGGTTGCGTTCTGCAGGTTGCCGCCGTGTTTGGCATTATAGGTCGGCGGATTGGGACGGAATGCGGTCTTTCTTTGCTTCCTACCCATGGGGGCGGGTTTGCTTCTCGCCGGATGATCCCAGCGCTGTTGCTGACTCTGTCACTGATGTGGTGCTACAGGGAATGGAACTATTTATTCCATCATCTGTGGTACCCATCGGAGGCAGATCTCAGCCTTGGTTTGGTCGCTCCTGTAAGACTGCATTACGCAGTAAGCAGGAGTGTTATCAAGCCTGGGCTGCGGCTTCGGTGACTCGGGATGTAAACACCAGCACACTCAAAAAGAAGTATAACTTCGCCTCCAGGTCCTTCAAAAGAGTTATTGCCAAGGCAAAGTCAGAGCACATAGGCAGAATTGGCGAGAAACTAGTTCGCCTTCCTTCGGGAACCCGTGCATACTGGTCTCTCGCCAAGGCTGTCCAAGGGAATTTCTGTAAGCCATCACTACCATCTCTGCACAGGGAGGACGACTCACTGGCCCACGACGCAAAAGAGAAGGCCGACCTTTTAGGCTCCCTTTTTGCGTCCAACTCGACTGTTGATGACGGGGGGAACACACCGCCGACCATCCCGCGGTGTGAGTGCTCCATGCCGGATGTGCGGTTCTCACAGCGCTCGGTTCGCAGAGCACTCCTCTCCCTTGACATCCACAAGTCGAGTGGGCCTGACGGAATCCCCCCAATTGTGCTGAGGACGTGTGCTCCGGAGTTGGCACCGGTTCTAACGCGTCTTTTCCGGTACTCCTACTCCCTAGGCGTAGTCCCGAAATCATGGAAGACAGCTTTTGTCCACCCGATCCCTAAAAAAGGCGACCGCTCAGACCCGTCCAACTACAGGCCTATCACCATCACCCCCTTGTTCTCCAAAATAATGGAATCAGTTGTAAACTGCCACCTCATGCGGTACCTTGAGGATCACCAGCTGATTAGTGACCGCCAGTACGGTTTTCGTCGGGGTCGATCAGCTGGTGATCTTCTGGTCTACTTAACTCACAGATGGGCGTTGGCAGTAGAGTCCAAGGGGGAGGCATTGGCCGTTAGTTTGGACATTGCGAAGGCCTTCGATCGGGTTTGGCACAAAGCGCTTCTTTCGAAGCTCCCTTCCTATGGGCTTCCCGAGAAATTATGCAATTGGATCACCAGCTTTCTTGCAGATCGGAGCATCAAGGTCGTTGTAGACGGTGCATGCTCCGACTACAAGCCTATTAACGCTGGTGTTCCGCAAGGCTGCGTGCTATCACCAACGCTGTTTCTTCTGCATATCAATGATATGTTGTAAGCCGGTAGCATTAATTGCTATGCGGATGACAGTACTGGTAATGCTCTATACACCGGCCGTGCCAATATTTCTCGGGAAAACGTCACTGAGTACCGGAACAAACTTGTGTCTGAAGTCGAGTCTTTGCTGGACAAAGTCTCGGATTGGGGGCGACTAAATCTAGTCCAGTTTAATCCTCAGAAGACACAAGTTTGCGCGTTTACCGCTAAAAAGAACCCCTTTGTCGTATCTCCTCAGTTTCAAGGTACTCCCCTTGTTGCCTCAGCCAGTATCGGAATCCTCGGCGTCGACATATCGAGTAGCGTGCAGTTTCGTGGTCACTTGGAAGAGAAGGCCAAATTGGCCTCTAAAAAGCTTGGCGTGCTCAGCAGAGCGGGACAGTATTTCATGCCGGCTCAACGCCTGCAACTTTACAAGGCGCAGGTTCGGCCTCACATGGAATACTGTTCCCATCTCTGGGCTGGGGCTCCCCAGTGCCAGCTTCTTCCACTTGACCGCATCCAGCGCAGAGCGGCTCGAATCGTCGACGACCGAGTCCTTTCCGATCGGCTCGACTCATTGGCACTACGAAGAGATGTTGCATCTCTTAGCATTTTCTTTCGCATTTACCATGGGGAGTGCTCTGAGGAATTGTTCGGATTAATCCCAGCCGCCAAATTTCACGAACGCACATCGCGGCAGAACTCCCGATACCATCCACACCATCTGGATGATTGGCGGTCCACCACTGTGCGATTTAGAAGATGTTTTCTTCCTCGCACAACTTCCTTGTGGAATAGTTTACCACCAGTGATTTTTCCGGACCGATACGACTTAGGGACCTTCAAGAAAAGAGCCTACTCCTTTTTAAAAGGCCGACAACGCATCTGCAATTCCCCTGGTGTTGCAGTTGTTCATGGGCGGCGGTAGTCACTTACCATCAGGTGAGCCGCATGCTCATTTGCCCCCTCCCCTATAAAAAAAAAAAAATATTCCCCTATAATCATCAACACGGGAGGCCTGTGTTCAACGGTGAACTTTTGGTAGGCTGTAACCATAACAGTAACAAGTGGTAACTAGTGGTCCCAAGTGAGTGTTGTGTACCAAGGACATGGCTCGCATACTATAGAATTCACAGCGACCATGCCTAGCTGTAATAGCCTACCTCCAATCTTATTGCATATCCTACTGAACACGGGTTAAGTTAAGACGACTGAGACATTGAGTATGTTTGGGTGTACATTGTTGTTTTATCCTCTGTGCAGTTGATCATTTGAAATTATTAGAACGCTATCGCCTTGGACGACATTAGGCTAGGAGGCATCATCCTATCAAATTCAATATTAGCTTTGCTTAAACTATAATACAAAAAACACAACTCACAATATGAATTATTGTAATTTAACTTACGTCATCTGCCAATAACCTGTGCTTTGGGTCCTTGACCAGCAACCTTTGTATCAGAAACACTGTATTATCAGAAACTTGGACCGAATTACCGTCCCTGAAAATTATTAATTTTTTTTTGTAATATAATAATAGTAAGTACCTTATTTGTTTCTTTTTAAATAATTAAAACAACACAGAATGCAAAATCACAAGTCCAAAGCCCATCAAAAGTCTACAGCTGAACATAGGCTTCCTTTACAGATTGTTTCATCTTTATTGTTTCAGATTTGTATCATTTTGAGGGGTTATCTGGAAGATGCTGCTGTGCATCTCATGTCAATTTCCCTTCGTCACCTTTGACGACACCCTCGGAACTACATGTTTTAGTGGACTTTGTTACCACAACTAAACAGCTAAAATGCAAATTATCATTTATAAATAACTACACCTTATATAGTTTTCATTTAATATATGAAAATCATATCCATCCACCCACTACAGCCATAAAGTCCACTACTGAACATAGAAGGCGGATTGGAACCACAGGTTTTCTATTATTTTAAGTTGTTATTAGGAAGATGCTGCAACCCATCTTCTGATTCAGTTTCCCCCCCTGCCACTATATGGCACGACAAATCATATGGTGTAGTATAAATAGTGTCAACTACCCAATTTTACTTTCACTTGCTTTCACCATTCTTCTCAACTTAGAATAATTTCGTTGTTAAATAGTAGCATATTAATAAAAAAATATTTAGCCATGAAAGTAAAGGGGAGATCTCTCGCAAGGTGTTCACCCCGAGATGCGACCAATGCTCCACGTGATATTACAAAGTTATGCTAGCGTATCGTGATTAGGCTTCAGTGCGTTTCTCTTGAGGCACAAATATGTTCATCATTATCATTACAGCCCTTCACAAATCCACTGCTGAACATAGGCCTCCTCTAAGCACGGTCCTGAGCCACTTGCATCCATTGACTTCCTGCATGTCTTACCGAGTTGTCACTCGATCTAGTGGGGGGACGCCCTACACTTCGCCTGCCGGTACGAGGATCCCTCTCGAGAACTTTTCTTTCCATCGGTTGTCGGTTCTTCGAGCTAAATGGCCGACCCATTGCCACTTCAGCATACTAATTCTCTGGGCTACGTCGGTTACTTAGGTTCTGCTGCGAATATCCTCGTTTTTAAGTCTAGCACGCAAAGAAACGCCGAGCAGAGCCCTCTCCATAGCTCGCTGAGCGACACTGAGCTTCCTCATACAGCCAGCAGTGAAGTACCATGTCTCAGATCCATAGGTCATCACTGACAACAAGCACTGGTTGTACAATCTAGTTTTAAGGTTTTGAGGTATGTCTGAAGAGAAGATGTGTCGTAATCTCCCGAACGCTGCCCAGCCGAGTTGAATCCGTCGATTGACCTCTCGGTCAAAGCTGGACTTACCTAGTTGGACTATTTGTCCCAGGTAAATATATTAATCAACAACTTTGAGCTTAATGCTCTAAACAACTACTGGCATAGGTGTGAAATGGACGTTATACATGATTTTTGTTTTGTCCTTGTTCATCTTATGACTTATCCATTGGGAGACACTATTAAGGTCATTGAGCATAGTGCTTAGGTCCTCCAGCAATTCTGCCATAAAGACTAAATCGTCGGCAATTTGAAAGTGAGTGATGTACTCGCCATGGACGTCGATACCGTATCCTTTCCAGTCCAGTAGCTTGAAAATGTCTGCCAATGCGGCAGTGAAGTTTCGGGGATATAACGTCACCCAGTCTTACACCTCTCTGCAGTTGAATAGGTTTCGTATTCGGGTTCTGAACTCGGATAGCCATCGTAGCCCTACAGTCCACTTGGCACCACTGAAGGGACTGCAGCACTGCCCAAATTTCAGCGGAATCAAAGGCTCTTTCATAGTCCATAGATGTAAGGCAAAGTGGCAGATTATACTATTCGTTCTTCTGTACAATTTACCGAAGGGTATGTATGTGGTCTATGATGCTAAAGCCTTATCGGAAACTGGCTTGTTCGGGAGGCTGGAAGTCGTCGAGTCTGCGTGCGAGACGATTCGTAATGACTCTCGAAAACAGCACGTAGACGCGGCTCAGAAGGGATATAGGTCTGTAGTTCGTCAAGAGAGCGTTGTTGTCTTTCTTGAAGAACAAGACTGCACTGCACTTCTGCTCCACGCTTCCGAAGTAGTGCCACCATGGAGGACTGAATTAAAGAGCTTTTGAAGGACTTTAAGTACCGATTTTCCACTCGATTTCAGAAGCTCTGCTGTAATTCTGTCAGCCATGTCTTCCATCATTGCACAGAGAGGATGACTCACTGGCCCATGCCGCAAAGGAGAAAGCCGATCTATTAAACTCTCTTTGCGTCCAACTCGACTCTAGATGACGGGGGAACACACCGCCGACCATCCCGCGGTGTGAGTGCTCCATATTGGATTTACGGTTTACACAGAGCTTGGTTCGCAAAGCACTCTTCTCCCTGAACGTCAGCAAGTCGAGTGGATCTGATGGAGTCCCTCCCATTGTGCTGAAGACGTGTGCTCCAGAGTTGGCACCAGTTTCAACGCGTCGTTTCCGGTACTCCCAATCCCAATACGTAGTCTCGAATTCAAAGACAGCTTTGGTCCACCCGATCCTTAAAAAAGGCGACCGCTCAGACCCGCCCCATCACCTCCTTGTTCTCCAAAATAATGGAATCCATTATAAACTGCCAGCTCATGTGGTACCTTGAGAATCGGGTACCAGCTGATCAGTGACCGCCAGTACGGTTTTCGTCGGGGTCGATCACCTGGTGATCTTCTGGTTTATCTGACTCATAGATGGGCGGAGGCAGTAGAGTCCAAGGGGGAGGCATTGGCTGTTAGTTTGGACATAGCAAAGGCCTTCGATCAGGTCTGGCACAAAGCGCTTCTTTCGAAGCTTCATTCCTATGAGCTTCCCGAGAAATTTTGCAAATGTATCGCCAGTTTCCTTGGTGATCAGAGCATCAAGGTCGTAGTAGACGGTTCATGCTCTGATTTCAAGCCTATCAACGCTGGTGTTCCACAAGGCTGCGTGCTATCACCAACGCTCCTGCATATCAATGATATGTTGCAAACTGGTAACATTCATTGCTATGCACACGACAGCACTGGTGATGCCTTATATACCGGCCGTGCCAATATTTCTCGGGAAAACGTCGCCGAGTACCGGGACTAATTTGTGTCTGAAGGCGAGTCTTTGCTGAACAGAGTCTCGGATTGGGGGCGACTAAATCTAGTCCAGTTCAATCCCCAGAAGACACAAGTCGCGCGTTTACCGCTAAAAAGAACCCCTTTGTCATATCTCCTCAGTTTCAAGGCAATAGTGTGCAGTTTCGTGGTCACTTGGAAGGGAAGGCGAAATTGGCCTCTAAAAAGCTTGGCATGCTCAGCAGAGCGAGACAGTATTTCATGCCGGCACATCGCTTGCAACTTTACAAAGCGCAAGTTTGGCATCACATGGAATACTGTTCTCATCTCTGGGCGAGTGCCAGCTCCTTCCACTTGACCGCATCCAGCGCAGAACGGTTCGAATCGTCGACGACCGAGTTCTTTCTGATCGGCTCGATACACTGGCACTGCGTAGGGATGTTTCATCCCTTCGCATTTCCTATCGAATTTACCATGGGGAGTGCTCTGAGGAATTGTTCAGATTAATTCCAGCCGCCAAATTTCACGAACGCACATCGCGTCAAAATTCACGATACCATCCACACACCATCTGGATGCTTGGCGGTCCACGACTGTGCGTTTTACTAGGAGTTTTCTTCCTCAAACTTATCTGTGGAATTATTTACCACCGGCGACTTTTCCGGACCGATATGACTTAGGAACCTTCAAGAAAAGAACTTTCACCTTTCTAAAAGACCGACAACACATCTGCAATTCCCCTAGTCACTTACCATCAGGTGAGCCGCATGCTCGTTTGCCCCCTCTTCTATAAAAAAAAATTCCATCCTCGCCCGGGGATTTGCCATTTTTAAGATGCTGGAGAGATTTCTGGGATATCCCTGACCTCATTCTGACCGAGATTAGAATTGTTTATTACGATGATATCATCAGAATATGTTGGACAAACATAATTACAGTTTCATACAGAAAAAAGCAATCATTTCATTCAATTTCAATGTTTTTGTACAAGTAAAATATTATTCATAATAAATATTTTACAAAATACAAATAAAATAAGAAAATATTCACAGTATGATGTCGATATAACATAAAGTAATTATTTTGTCTTGAATCAAAGATACAGTAGAAAGCCCAGTCCACTTCTCTTACTAAGCATTGTAATCTAAGTCTTAATAAAGAGTGATTTTTCTTTTATAGAAGAAGGGTGACAAGCGAGCACACAGTCCACTTGATGGTAAGTGGTTGCTGTGGCCCATAGACATCTACATCTATCCTCGAGAGCAAATCAAAATGCAGATGCGTTGTCAGCCATGAGGACTAAGATAGAATGCCTCTTTGCAGCATGGCTCTACCATATACAAAGATTAAGGCAATTTTAGATTGATAACAGACAGTTTAAAAAATACTCACGGTGGTATATTATAATTGGCGGCCTGTATCCTACTGAAAAGTTGTGCAAGACTAGTGTCGCAGAATGGGAACTGTCCATATAGCATTGTATATAAGACTACTCCAAGTGCCCACATATCTGAAGGCTTTCCTAAATATGGCTTGCACATCAGCACATCTGGTGATATATAGGCTGGTGACCCTTCAAAGTTAAATATTAAAATAAAGTAACAACTTAAACATATCCCATCATTGGGCATAGACTTTGTCATTGTTCTGAAATGGTTTTGGAACAGCAGAAAGTCGACCTTCATACTTGTCTTTAATTTTTTTTATCCTTATGATACACTGTATGTTCATTCAGTTATTTCAGCCTATCAAAATCCACTGCTAAATGTAGATTTGGGATATTTGATACAAAAGCCACGCTTGACAGACGGGATGGCAACTGTAGTTTTTTTATTATTTGAGTTATTATGATATTTAATTATTATTTAAAGTTCGATTTCACACTGAAACAGACCAACTAAATGTTTTTCCCAAATCGTTTGCAGCATTTTATATGCAGAAAAACAAAATGTTTACAGTTTCCATTGTCTCATTTTCTGCAGAATGCAGTAATGCGTAAAGCCGAAATTAGAGCTATGGCACCCGTGGGAGAGGTCTATGTCCAGCATTGGACTGTCGCACACTGTTGCTAATGATTATGATGACGATCATTTGTTTTATTATTCTAGTATCTAGCACATTTCATCTGATTTGAATTGTATTATGCAAAATGATAGTCATACCTCTCTGATCCTTCAATAAATCTCTGTCACTGCCCAAGTGAGTGCCCAAGCAGAAATTGGTAATGGTTATGCGGCCAGTTCTTTGGTTTAACACTATATTGCCTAGCTTCAAGTCTCTATGTACTATGTTTCTCTGAAAATAAAGTAAAATGTTTTGCTTCAACACAAAGTAACAAATCATTCTATAAACCTGCACAAAAGAACGTATGACTGAATTAGAACACCAATACTCAAGGAGTTCTGCGATCTGTTAACTTTTGAAGGATTGTCAGCTTTGATGTGCTACAAATCCTCGCAAAGGAACCACAATTCCTACCAAGGATGTTTTATGACGCTATTGATATTAAAAAACATCCAATTTTAATAGAGAACATGCTGCTGCATAGCATCTCATTATTAGTAATATTATCCAAACCCAAGCATACCATTACAAAACTTAAAATACTGTAAGCTCAATCTGTGTAAATCGAACCAAAAAGTAATATTTGGAAGCCGAAGATAGTCCAGGTCAACTATGATGTCAAACATGTCATATTGTTAAAAATAAATTAGAATTAAATAAGATAAAAATTTTGAGCATAGTGCTTAGGTCCTCCAGCGATTCTGCCATAAGGACTATATCGTCGGCAAATCGAAGGTGAGTGATGTACTCGCCATTGATGTTGATACCGTATCCTTTCCAGTCCAGAAGCTTGAAAACGTCTTCCAATGCAGCGGTGAAGAGTTTCGGGGATATGACGTCACCCTGTCTTACACCTCTCTGCAATTGGATAGGTTTCGTACTCTGGTTCTGTACTCGGATAGCCATCGTAGCCCTACTGTACAAGCACTTCAACACTTCGATATACCGACAGTCAACTTGGCACCGCTGAAGGGACTGCAGCACCGCCCAAATTTCGACGGAATCAAAGGCTTTCTCATAGTCCACATACGCCAGACATAGTGGCAAATTGTACTCTTCGGACTTCTGTACAACTTGCCGAAGGGTATGTATGTGGTCTATGGTGCTAAAGCCCTTTCGGAAACCGGCTTGTTCGGGAGGCTGGAAGTCGTCAAGTCTGCGCGCGAGACGATTCGTAATGACTCTCGAAAACAGCACGTAGACGCGGCTCAGAAGGGAAATCGGTCTGTAGTTCTTCAAGAGAGCGTTGTCACCTTTCTTGAAGAACAAGACCACCGCACTTCTGCTCCACGCCTCCGGTGTAATGCCACCATGGAGGACGGAATTAAAGAGCTTCTGAAGGACTTCAAGTACCGGTCTTCCCGCTTTCAGAAGCTCCGCTGTAATTCCATCCTCGCCTGGGGCCTTACCGTTTTTAAGGTGCTGGAGAGCCATCCTAATCTCGCTCAGACTGACATCCGGGATATCTTCGGAATAGTGTCGGATGAGACTCGCTCTTGGATCGTTACTCACACTTGCGTGTGGCTCCAACGATGATGTGTACAGCTGCCCATAGAACCTCTCAATCTCACTCAAAATCTCAGGTGTCCCGGAAACGATGCTGCCACACTCTGTCTTCAGCTTTGACAGTTGGCTCTTTCTGGCAGACAGATCTCTGGCAAAGACTTTGGAGCCTTGGTTCCGCTCGATCGCTTCTTCAATATGAGCTGTATTGAAGTTGCGTAAGTCCCGCCGCGTGCATTTGGAGATCTGTCTGTTCAGATGCCTGTATGCTGTCAAGTCTGTTGAAGAATGTAGCTTCATCTCCCGTCTAACAGCCATGAGATTAAGAGTGTGATCGGAGAGTTTTTGTGTTCTTCTGCGGCGGGTCTTGCAGAACTTAGCTCCAACCGCATGGACAGTTTCCACGAGCTTGTCATTCATATCGTCCACTTCATTGCAGTCTTCCAGGCACTGAAAACGGTTTTGTAACTCGAGCTGAAAGGTTTCGGGACTTTGGAACAGAGCACGAGGGGGACGGAGCGTTGACTTCATTAGACGAGATCTCTCCAACTTAACGTTTAGGTTCAGTGTGCCTCTAACCATTCGGTGATCGCTACCAGTTTTCACCCTCGCGATCACGGAGACATCACTGAACAGTTGTCGTCTGGTCGTCATAATGAAGTCAATCTCATTTTTTGTGGAACCTTCGGGGCTCGACCAGGTCCACTTCCTGTGGGGCCGCTTCTGGAAGAAAGAGTTCATCATAAAGAGTCCCTCTTTCTCCATGAAGTCGGCCAGCTGCTGGCCCCTTGGGTTCCGTTGCCCTATTCCAAATTTCCCTACTTTCAGCTCACCGTTCTCTCTTGTGCCTAGTTTTGCATTGAAGTCTCCCATTAACACCGTATATTGGGTTTTGGAGGAATGCATGGCTCTAGAGATATCCTCATACATTTCCTCCACCTCCTCATCGGGGTGTGCCGAGGTTGGTGCGTAAACCTGTATGACCTTCAGCGAATACCGTTTGGTGATTCTGAGTATAAGGTACGCAACCCTCCAACCACTCCAACCAACCAAGACTTGTGGACGATAAATCCGACACCTCCTTGGGACAGATGGTCGCCCTCCCGGTGATAGAGCAAGTTGCCGGATTCGAGGATTACCGTGTCCTCCCCCTCTCTTCGGACTTCGGATAATCCTATAATATGCCAGCGCAACTTGTCTATCTCTTCTTCCAGCTCCACGATCTTCTCGTCAGTCCTCAGGGTGCGTGCGTTGTACGTTGCCAGGTCGAGTCGTCTAAGGTGGCAACCGAACCTCCACCGGAGATTCTTAGCACCCCCTGCCCCGCCGTTACCATGGTCGCCACCGTAGCCAGGAATAGCGGGGCCGCCGGGGACTGGGGGCCGTTTTTTTGTAGCTCTCATCATTGGGGGGGTATTTGCCATAGTTGCCACGCTTGGCGAGCGGGTTGGCAACCGCAGTTTTTTTATTGTAATTTGGCTATTATCAGGAAGATGCTGCTGCCCATCTCCTGGCTGTTTCCCTTTGTCGCCTTTTACGACACCCACGGGAGGATATGGGGTAGTGGATATTCTTGACCGCCACTACACGGCAAGCTATTTGACTATTGAGGTCATTAAGCACTATGCTCAATGACCTCAATAGTGTTTCCCAACGGATAGGTCTTAAGATGAACATGGACAAAACTAAGATCATGTTTAATGTCCATGTCACACCTATGCCGGTAGTTGTTGGGAACACTAAGCTCGAAGTTGTTGACGAGTATGTTTACCTGGGACAAATAGTCCGACTGGGTAAGTCCAACTTCGACCGAGAGGTCAATCGACGGATTCAACTCGGCTGGGCAGCGTTCGGGAAGCTACGACACATCTTCTCGTCAGACATACCTCAAAACCTTAAAACGAAATTGTACAACCAGTGCGTGTTGCCAGTGATGGCTTACGGAACTGAGACGTGGTCCTTCACTGCTGGCCGTATGAGGAAGCTCAAGGTCGCTCAGCGAGCTATGGAGAGGGCTATGCTCGGAGTTTCTCAGCGTGATAAACTCAGGAATGAGGATATCCGCAGTAGAACCAGAGTGACCGACATAGCCCAACGGATTAGTAAGCTGAAGTGGCAGTGGGCCGGCCATATAGCTCGAAGAACCGACAACCGATGGGGAAGAAAGGTTCTCGAGTGGCAGCCTCGTACCGGTAGGCGAAGTGTAGGGCGTCCCCCCACGAGATGGAGTGACGACCTCGTAAGACATGCAGGAAGTCGATGGATGCAGGTGGCTCAGGACCGTGTTTTGTGGCATTCTTTGGGGGAGGCCTATGTTCAGCAGTGGACTTGTGAAGGGCTGTAATGATGATGATGATGAAGATAAAAATTTAATGGACTTTACAACAGATAGCCAAAAACAATTATTCATTCACATTGGATGTTGCTATAGCCACATTTTTATTTTTTTACAGAATAAGGGCGACAAACCAGCACACAGTCCACCTCATGATAAGTGAATGCTGTGGCTCATAAAAATCTACATTGATCCTTAATTAAGAATCAAAATGTAGATGCGTTGTCACCCCTGAGGACTGATATGGAATTCGTCATATCCAGTAAAAAGTGTTTCCGGTTTTCTACACTCACCATATGAAACACAGCTACTATTTTACGTTGGTATTCTGTGAGAGCGTGGGCCTACTCCAGTCGAGCCAACAATGCTACAACCATAATATAGCTGCCGCATGGCTCTACCACATATAAAATTAATACAATGGTACATAACATTGGATAAAAAAGAATAGAACATTTTTTATTTTCAGAATAGATCTCTGTCTTCAAGTACCACCATTATACAAAATAAAGTAGGTTGTACAATTATTTATAAAACTCATTCTCAGAAGTTATAACGAACCATGTAATCATTTGTATTCTATTAACCCTTTTTATAAAATTTGAATAGTAAAATAACATAACCCAACAATTGGAAACAAAATCAGAGATTCAAGATGTGTATGTAGTAGGCGCTGCAATTGCTAATTGATTTATTAAGCATTGTAAATACAAGTTACTATGGTAGCAAAGAAATATTTACAGGCTGATAAGAGAGTTCATTTTAAAAGGTTTTTAAAACATACCTTATGTAAATTTGCAACAACCCTAACAATATCATAGAATATAAGTACTGCTTCCTTCTCTGGTACTTTTTTTACTTTTGTAACATACTGTTGAAGGTTAATCAGCTCACTACCCTTCTCGCTAAACTGGTGTGCAGTAACACAGTCTAAGACAAGGAACAGTCTCTGCCGTACACGGCCCGTGTACACATAACCTGGACCATTGGGATTGGGAATTTCTTCAAGAGCATGGTCCTGGAAAAATGATAAGACAATTAATAGTGAAGTTTGTTTTTGTTTATGCATGATACTAGCCGTGCCCGCGGCGTAGCTCGCGTAATATAGGTTTTACTTAGAGAATTTGACATTCAGGTAAGAGAATATTAAACGATTTATATCATTACTGTATCAATAAGTGATAACGTCACTGTAATAGACGACTCTGGTTAATGCGTATATATACACTAAGCGCTCCGTCTCTATTTTCGCATACATGTCCACTATAAATTGGTTAAATAACCCCCGAAATCTTTGCAGATACGCAAGGCGATTATGCCTTACATGTAACAGGTGCGAATAAAATTGCAGAGCAGATATTTTTTTATTAATATTGGTCTCTCTGGTATTAGGATTAGCTTGGTAAATTCCGAAATGGTACCCATTTTCACCGTGACAATATATTAATGTATATTGTAGAGCATCATAATATCGATGCGTTTCATAAATCCCTGGCAATCGATCGTCATGTGTGTGCAACACGACGTCACGTCTATCGCACTCCTGGTGAACTAATACCACTGCCACTTCATCAGTGACAGGAACGTTGCTACCGCGGTGTTCAGTAACAGGACGTCTGTCAGCGTTAATAACTATTTTATAATTGTTTATTAAATCTTGACGGATCGATTGCAATGCAACCCTAAAACTATGAACGTATGGATTTATTTCATGTAGCATCCTTTGAAGTTGGGATATGAGTTCGCTATTGAGTTGTGGGAAGTTGTGTTTTCGGATATTAGTCTGTTCATTATAATCTGATACAAAATAAATTGACTATTTTACTTAATGTCTATAGAGTTTTAGTGGAATTCTAAATTCTAACAGTAATGAGAAAACCAAAGAGTATAATATAATCAGTACGCTCAAAAAATAACATTTGAAATGACACTCCTTTCTTTATAACTCATAATAAACTCATAATTATATAATTTAATATAATTTATTAAGTTGAAATTGAAATTGAAAATATATAATATCTACATTGGTTCTGGGTAATGTATGGTTATTTGTTTTAGTGAGACTGTAACTGCACTACAGTTAGTCTCACTACGATTCGGGGTATCTTAACGCCGCAATTCAGAAAAGAATGTAATTTGTACAACGCCATCTATTACGTTCTTTGTGAGAAAACTTTTTTAATTTAAGGAAAACATCTTTTTTACTGTTTACTGTGTTTTAAGTATAAATATATTACTATAGAACGTTTTTTTTTACACACAAATCTTTCTATTACTTTTCCTGAGATTTTATGGCACCATTGAACAAATTCGAACCTACATTTCAAACTAATAATCATAACTTTCGATAGAATTAACCAAATTTAATAAAACAAAAATTAAATGTAACTTGAAGATGCGCTTTATGATTTTCATAACGATTTCTTTAAAAAAAAAAGATGTTTACTTTAGATGGTATGCGTTTATAAACAAACAGACAGACAGAGAGACAATTCTAAAAATTATAATAATGTGCTTATTTAATTATTTTCATTTCCCTATAATGATTTTAGTGACAAATATTCTATACAATGTACAAAAACAGACAACATGTTATCACCATTTTTATTATAAGTATATATTTAAAGAGAGATAGCGCTGCTAACAGCAATCAATTCTTAAAATAAAAGAGATTAATTGAGGCGATTGGTACATTATTATATATATATAAGACATAAAAGAACTTATAAACCAGTGTCTGCATAGTAAGCAAACGCCTTTCTATGTTACATTTGCACCATACTGCCATCTATCGATGAAATTGGTTAACTATTTCACTTTAGATTTAGTTAATAAGGTTATAATATATTTTTGTATATTTTATTTAATATGTTCTTTAATACTTTGTTTACTGCGTTTTAGATATAACTATATCATTATAGAACATTATTTTACCTAATTTAATTATGATTTATGATATGGTATTAGTTTAAAATGCACTTGATGACTCAACCATCGCCACCGTTGAACAAATTCGTACCTATACTTCGTATTCATACTTCAGAATATTTATCATAACTTTTGATTGAATGAACTGATTTTAATGAAATAAAGACTAAATGTAACACGAAGATACACTTTATATTTTCCTTAATGATTCTTATGATATAAATTAGTACTTTATACGTGATACGTTAACAAACAAACAAACAGACAGACAGAAAATTCTAAAAATGGTAGAAATGTATTTAGTTACTTATTTTTAGTACCTCTCAATCACTTTTATTACAAAAATATAAAATGTACAGACGTCCGCTTTTTACATTTTTATTATATGTATAGATAAGAAATATATAATCTAATGGCCAACATAACTAGATATATAGTATTGATCCCAGGTTTAAATTTCACCCAAAACCACTCAAACAAATTATTTGGGTCTGGTTATGTTGTGCTTGAAAGAAAGAAAGAAAGAACAAATTTATTTATTGCTGCAACTTGCTTCTAAAGCATGGTCGCGGAGCAGGAATTTTTTTATAGCTTTGCATTTATAAACTTAATTACCATCATAAAAAGTTTTATTACTATTACAACTAAGATAGTCTTAGGACCTTTTGAACAGTATTTGTGATTCGAAAACTGAGTTTATTCTCAAGTTGTTAAAGTTCACATTTGTATAACGTAATAATGTAACAATTTGAAATTCTTCTTGCTCCGCGCTCATGCCATACAAGACCTTATTTTATAAACAAAAAAAAACTCAACAAAATATTAAGAAAAAAATTGGATTGCACCAACAAAAAGGCTACATACTCAACATAATGCTACAGTAACAGAGTTACTGCAGTGCTGATATTCTATTTGTTCCCTTATCTCTAGTACTTCAACCTAGCTTTTCTCCCTTCTCTTAATATTATATCAAGCTTAGGTGGGTTTGTATAGAACCAGTGATTGCTTGTATTATCACTTATTCTTCTGACACTATAAAGCCACATATTCCCTAGATGTATATCTATGTCAGATACAATATTTAAGTGTATCTGATACATTTGTTATTGTTTCAGAAATAAGTAATAATATTGAATTGTGAAGATTTAGGTGTTTCCTAATATATAAATTCTTCTGACACTATAAAGCCACATATTCCCTAGATGTATATCTATGTTAGATACAATATTTAAGTGTATCTGATACATTTGTTATTGTTTCAGAAATAAGTAATAATATTGAATTGTGAAGGTTTAGGTGTTTCCTAATATATAAATTCTTCTGACACTATAAAGCCACATATTCCCTAGATGTATATCTATGTCAGATACAATATTTAATTGTATCTGATACATTTGTTATTGTTTCAGAAATAAGTAATAATATTGAATTGTGAAGATTTAGGTGTCTCCTAATATATAAATATATACATGTTTTACTTTTATAACTCTGGGATAGAAAACATAAGTTGCGTGACAGGAGTCTGTGTTGTGGATGCATTAACCACCAAAATATTAGAATTTATTCAATGCTATGAAAGAAAAATTTTGTTATGATTCTTATAAGACTGAAATTTTATCTCTTGTTTAGGTATTTATGACCCAATAATTTCTTAATGTAATTTAAAATCTGATTTGGACATTAACTTAAAATTGATGAATGAACCATCACTAATTCAAAATTTTTTTCTGTAAAAGGTAATTGTGTACCTTTTAAGCCCAAAGCTAACCTTTTCTTTTTCTTACAAATCATTAGCTTATGTAAATAAAGGTGTGCAGCATCTTAAAACACCTAACAATTACTTCATGGCACAACAACTGGTTGATTTGGTCAGAAAAACTCAAAACATCTACACAATCTGAAAGTGTTTGTATACAGTTTCTGAAACATTGTTTACTAGTGAATATATGGCTTAATGCCATATATTCAGTTTATAGATTCTGATCATTAAAATGCTGTCAATGTAGTCTTAAAAAGGCCAGGAGAACATTGTTATTCAGTAATACAAAATAATAATAAAACAATTACATAGAATTTCTAAACTAATATTAAAAAATACAATATTGGGATGTAAAGATTATTTATATTAACCTTAAAAAGCCCATGATGATGAACCACACCGTCTTGATCCTTTAAAAGTGATAAAAGAGAATACTCTGTATGCAATAACATTTTTCCTTGTCGATCATCTTGTGTCTCAGGCTGACCCTCATTCCGTAAAGTCAAAATTTTTATTTGGTAAAACTCATCAGTTTTTTCTTTTCGTGCTAAACATTGCACTATACTCTTAACTGGACTAGGTCCAAGTTTAGGACCTAGTAAATAAGGTCCAGCTTTTCGAACATGCTTTTCTGGAACTAGAGTTCCTGGAGGTGGAACATCACACTTGTTATACAATATTTTAGACTTTCTATGAGAGTGTGGACCCAATTTTTTTGAGTTTTTAAGCACAGAGCTTGACGAATTTCCATAAGCTGATATTCTGGCGATCTTCGGACTTGGTTGAAGTAACAAAGGTCGAGTTCGTTTTCCATGATTTACAGTACTTTCTGGTCTCTCTTGATCCATGTCGTGTCACTTTCCAAACCGTTATTATAACTATTACTAAACAATAGATTTCTAATGATTCACAGTATTATTTCTTGATAGGCTAATTGTATTAAATGTATGTAAATATTAAAAAGTTTTCTATTTTATATTCAGTTCAGCATTTTATGAACTTTTATAGTTTCCAGCTACATATTTATTTATCTATGGTTTCCAGTATTAATAATCTATGGTCTATGACCAAACTAGTGATGTCAGCTTTAATAGTGACCGACCGAAGGTTCGGTTTTGGTTTCGGTTTCGGCAATTTTCGGCAAAAAAATCTAATTTCGGTAATAGTTTCGGTTTCGGCAAAGAATCTGCCGAACCTTCGGCGGCACCGAAACTCAGTGTTCTTGGATTATCGTGCGTCTTTTGGATGAGTGCGTGACTCGTGTATAACTATACAGAAACGGAAAGTTTTTAATTGTATATAGATTATAAATAATACTTATTGAAAGTCACTCTTTTGTTTAATTACCACTGGTTCGAAAAAAAAGCCTCTGTCCTTGGAAGAATCAGCAAGAAACCCAGCGGGACTTTTTTTAAATAACAGCTTACAATTAGAGGCGTAGCGTGGACTAATATAAACGTGGACGAAGTTGCATTAGCGAAGCACCTTTGTTTTCGTTCCAAAGATCTAATCAATAGATCTATTCTACCAAACATGCCTTGACACGACATACGTATCTACTCATATCTATTAATTCCTGACAAGTCTCGTATTCCGTCAATGTAACAATCGCGGTCTTTGAAGGTAGTAACAACGGCCTCGCAGTCACATTTAAGAGAGCTTCTTGCGAGGCAACAATGAAAGGCACTTAAATTTGTGACTATCTTTTTCGAGTGTAAAAGTGATCAAATTAATTTGTCATCTGGGGTAAAGTCTGGGAGCATCGCATTTTAGGGGGCCTCGTCATCATGTATGTAACACAATTAAGAACACAAAACAAATTAGAAATAGCTTGATAGTGATCACCTCATTCCCAAGGGTTATTATCATCGACAAATTCCTAAATATTATAATAACCCTTTTTATACAAACTTAGTATTTGATGTACTTATTAAAGTTTTTGAACTTTGAGCAGGTTTTGTATATTTTCTGAGGTTTTGTTGTATGTATATTGTGTGTAAGAGTGTGAATGTGATATATTGAGTCAATGCTCTCATTGAATAATATCAACAATATTGTAAACACAATTAAATATTGTTGCGCGCCACTATTAATGTCTTGTACATGGCAACACTAGTTACCATTAGCGCCCTCTAGTGTCGAGTAGCAGAACTAGGAGAGTCAAGATCCTTCTAGAAAATTCGGGACCGATATGTACTTGAACATATTAGATGTTTCTACAGTAGAAGTTTCTGGAAACTATCTGAGCCCCTATATAAGGCCGGTATAGACCACGACCGAGTCAGTATTGAATTGGCGATACAAGAGAATACTTTAAAGTGAAATAACTGCGTACTAAAGTGATCAGTAGTACAATTGTGTTTTATTAGTAGTGTGGTTTTAAATTGTAAATAGTGTTCTGTCATTAAAGTGTCAATTTTGGTAATTCAATCAGCAGTTTTTAATTGTCTCGAACCCCGAACTCGTAACAATTGGTGTCAGAAGTGGGATCAAATCATGCCGATTTTACCAAAGGACGACATGGAGGGTATCCGTACCCGAAGGCAACGCCAGCTCGAGACGGACCAGAGACGATTTGATAATACAACACCGCAAACGTTGGAGGGCCAGCTGCCGATCACGGAGGTCAGCCCGTCAGCAGCTCCTGCATCTGCAGCACCTAACTTAGGTGCTCTGATGGTGATGCTGCAGGAGCAATCTCGCCGACAGGAGGAACAGGTCCGTCGGTTTGAAACAGAAACTGATACAGAAACTTTTTTATTCAATATAGATTATAAATAATACTTATTGAAAGTCACTCTTTTGTATGATTACCACTGGTTCGAAAAAAAAAAACCTCTGTCCTGGGAAGAACCAGCAAGAAACCCAGCGGGACTTTTTTTTAAAATAACAGCTTACAATCATGTATGTTACACAAATTAACAACACAATAAATTAGAAATAGCTTGGTAGCGATCACCTCATTTCCAGGGGTTATTATCATCTATAAATTCATTAATATTATAATAACCCTTTTTATACAAACTTAGTTTAATAAAGTTTTTGAACTTTGAGCAGGTCAAATTTTGTAAATTTTTTTACTGGAATTTTGTTGTAAAAGCGTATACATCGCCCCAAGAATGAATTACTGACTCGATGGAGTCGAGTAACTGGTACTACTAGCTTGTGTCTGTTCCTAGTATTTACAGAATGGATATCACTTATTTTTGTGAAGCTACTTTTATTTTTGTGTACGTACATTACATTTTCATAAATGTATTGAGAGGCCAAAGTTAATATATTAATTTCCTTAAATTTTTGTCGCAGCGACTCTTTAGGCTTTAAATCATAAATTGCTCTTATGGCCCTCTTCTGTAAAACAAATATAATTTCAGTGTCAGCTGCGTGTCCCCATAGTAAAATACCATACGACATTATGCTATGGAAATAGCTAAAGTAAACTAGTCTAGCTGTTTCAACACTAGTTAGACTTCTAATCTTTTTTACGGCATATGCTGCAGAACTAAGTCTGCTTGCTAGTTTTGATATATGGGGGCTTCATTGAAGCTTCGCGTCTAGTGTGATTCCAAGAAAAATGGTGGTATCTACAAGACTCAGTTTCTCCCCATTTAAAATTACATTAGCATTTAATTGTTTGACATTTGGAGTCATTAATTTCATACATTTCGTTTTAGTGCCATTTAAATGCAAATTATTAACATTGAACCAATTTACTAATTTAGATATGGCATTATTTACTTCGTCATATTTTAGCAATTGTCGACTTAATTTGAAAATTAAAGAAGTGTCATCTGCAAATAATACTATATCATGGTTATCTCCTACTATGTAAGGTAAGTCATTAATGTATACAAGAAACAGAAAGGGGCCGAGAATTGAGCCTTGAGGCACGCCCATTTATACCATCGACCCGGAAGAACTCATACCGTTAATGACAACTTTTTGCGTTCTCTTACTTAAATATGAAATAATTAATTTAAGAGCATCACTTCTTACACCGTAGTGTTGAAGTTTCCTGATTAATGTTTCATGGTGAACACAATCGTGGGCTTTGGATAGGTCACAAAATATACCCAAAGCATCCTGTGAATTCTCCCATGTATTAAATATATATTTAATCAGCTCAACACCGGCATCAGTTGTCGAGCGACCCCTTGTGAAACCAAATTGATTTTTATGAAGTAAATTATTTATATTAAAGAAATTTAACATTTGATCAAGAATAATTTTTTCAAAAATCTTACTAAGTGTTGGTAGTACAGAAATAGGTCTAAAATTGGCGGGGTCTAATGTACTACCAGATTTAAATAAAGGTATTACTTTACTATACTTCATTAAATCAGGAAACACACCAGATTCGATACTAGTATTAAAAATAATAGCTAAATGAGGCGCGATTGTATCTATTATAGACGCAATAACTTTAACGGAAATCCCCCACAGATCCGCAGTTTTCTTAACATCAATAGTTTTAAAATATTTTACAATATCTTTTGATGATACTTTATGAAATGCAAAATTCTTTGTACACGCATTTACATTTTGTTTAAGTAATGATTCGGCGACCGCAGGAGAAGAATTCAGTGACTTAGTGGTTAATATCGGAATATCAGTAAAATATTTCTCAAAAACCATTGCAACGTCTTGATCTGATTCGGTTAATTTGTTACTAACACTTAACTGGTAGTTTGAATTGTGAGAGTTGATCTTACAAGTTTCGCTATTAATTATTGTCCTCCATGTCATTTTAATTTTATTAGATGCCGTCTTAATTTTGTTGCTCAAATGCAAAGACTTGGCTGTGGAGCACACTCTTTTAAATATTTTTGAATATTTTTTTACATATATGATATATGACCTTTCATGGTAAAGATCATATAACCTATGTCTGCTCTTATGAACTCCTACTGTCGCCCATACATTAAATGACTTTCGACTGTTCAAGGAGAATGTTTTAGAAGTAAAAGTATTATTAAATTCATTGCAAATAAGCTTAAATAATGTTCCATACAAAAAATTTGGATCATTTTGGTATGAAAGTGATGGAAGTTTTTTCACTATGTTACTTCTAAACTTTTCCAAGCGACGTGCATTTACTGGAACAAACACAACTTTCTCATCTACTTGCTTTTTGTGAACATAAGGTAACGAAACTACCTGTCCACAGTGTTGAAAGAGCAGCTGCAGCGCGGACAGGAGGAATAGGCCCGTTGCTTGGAAGAGCAGTTTAAACGCGATAAGGAAGAACAGATGCTCCTCATGAAGGACCTTCACGCTACCTTCGGGAAAGAGATAAGGGAGGTGAAGGATAGGGTTGCTCAATATGACAACCGCCTGTCGGAAGTTGAAACCCGAATCGACCAAGTGTACAATCGGGTTGACAACGTGATGGCTGACGTGAAGAAAACGCTGGATGACCTCAAACTTGGGGATGGGGTTACAGCTCCCGTGGTAGCTACAACACCTTCGCTACGCGGATTCAAGGTGCCGCCGTTCGACGGGACTTCTTCCTGTTCGGCCTACAAAATCCAATTCGAGGCTGTCATGAAAGCGAACGGCTGGAATCAAAGTCAGGCCATGACTGCTCTCACCCTAGGCCTGCGCGACCAGGCCTTAACTGTTCTGGAAGCTCTCGGTAAGGAAGTGACTATCGAGCAGCTCCTTGAGGCGTTGGAGGCGAGATATGGCGACGCTCACCTGGAACATGTCTTTAGTGCACAGCTCAAAAATCGCGTGCAACGCAGCAACGAGAACCTGCAGCAGAGGGCCATTGAGGTGGAGAAGCTGGTTTGAAAAGCATACCAGTCTGTACCTGTGCTCATTGTAGGAAACTTGGTGCAGACATTCTTCGACGGCATCCGCGACCTTGAAGTTAGAGCTGCTGTGAGGCTCGGGTACCAGGAGACGCTTAAGGACGCGTTGGCCCTTGCACTGGAGGTGGAAGCCGAGCGACAGGATCATCGTTCCTATCGCGTCAGGGAAGTTACAGTTAGCGACCGCAATAAAGGATACAGCCCTAGGTGCT